AGGTGATAGAACCTTTGTAGTCTTGGACAAATGATATGTCCTCTGTGGGACTCAATATTCCCATCTTCCCTTCCTTGTACTCAGACCTCTTGTAAGGCTAATGTTACAGTTTCAGGGCAAATACGCTGATGTTTCTTGCTCTGTAGTCCATCCAGAATACTTAGTTTAAGCTTCTGCCTCCCAGCTGTCACCTCTCTCAGGCAGAGCCAAACATCTCACTTCCTCCTGACTGGAGAATTTAAGACTGCACTGCTCCCTGCCTTACACTGTGACAGGGGTGGGCAATAAGAGTAGATGAGGTTTGGCAGGGTTAGCTCACAGCTCTGTTAGCCATGGATTACTGTTCCGAGCCAATGGGAGATGAGGGTGGCTTCCCACAGCTCCCATTGGCCAGGAAGTCGGGAACAGAGGTCCACGGCCAACAGGAGCTGTGAGCAGCTGTGTCTGTGGATACGCAGGTAAATAAAGTCCTGGCGGCCCACCAGTACCTGTTCCTGGTGTGATGCGTTGGGCACGCGAGCCACTTATTACCCACTCTTGCACTGTGAGATCCCTAGCAAGCCAGACTGCCTCAACAGGAGGGGGCCTAAGTTTTGCTTTCTTTCCAAGGGTTATGACCAGTGTATTATGCTTATTCTTAAGATTAAAGCATTAGAGAATAAATGATTAATTCAATAAAAGAAGTTGCATACATGCAAGAACACTTATCCGCGGTCACACCCAACTCTGGCATAGCGCTTTTGTAGGCTTCAGTCCTCCATGACTGGGTTTTCCCTGTGGTTACAAGTTCATCTTAGATCCAGAACTCAGAGACTGGGCCAATTAGCCATTTCTTTATATAGCTGGGCCATTGATCTTCCTGTTCTGTGACAGGTAACCAGCAGGCAATGACCCTCTCGTCTGGATGTGCCTCCAAAAAGCTGGGCTTTTTTTATCATCAGAGTTGGGGAATTTGTTTTAACCTCTGACTTTCTGGAATACAATACAGACTATTGAGTGGGCTTGCCCTTAACCTGCCTCATTGGGGTTCTTTACAATGTGTTTTGCTACTGTTGCTCCCACCTGGACTGTTCACAAACAGCTTGCCACATGTTGCTTGCACCCTGAATGTCTGTGTATAACTGCAGCCTTACAGCTATCCAGCCAGTCACATTATGATTTCCACCAGCCTTAGTTATTACTTGCAGACTCTAAAACACTCGCAGGCCTGGATTTTGCCCTAAAATGTGTTTTGCATGGTCAGTTCCACTTTTGGATAGTCCAGTATTATGTGTGTTGTATTTCTAAGGGGATCAGTGTTGCAATAGTTCACAACAGTGGATTAGTTTTGATTAAAGACTAAAACAAGTTGAACTGGCAGGAGATAAGTGTTATGTGAGTACAAGGCATTAAAGTTAGAAATGGTTACAAGAGAAATAAAAACAAAATGCGTTGTGTGCTAAAACTTAACAAATGCCACTTTGTTCAAGATAAAGTTATTACCATATTCTCCCAGCAACAGGGCTAACCAAGTTTCAGGTCAGGCTCTTTTTAGAAAGGGATGCATAAGGAGGGAGATTCTGGGGTGTCTCCTCCCCCTCATGTTATAGTTAAGTCCCTTTTTGAAATGTACTTTTCTTAGTGTTACCCCCAGATTCATTCTCCCTGTGAGGCTGGAGTCGTGAATCTCATGATGAAATTGGTGTCATACTGTTCTTTGCTAAGATGTAGATCTATTTGTTTCTGCTCCCTGTCCCTACTAAAGAATGGCCACTTGACAGGTGATTGCCTATAAACTAGCTACAAGCATCAGCTTGTCCCTGGTCTTTGAGCAACTTGTTTGGTAACATATTTCAGACCTAATTTCAGCTTTTGTTTATAACGTTACATATAATATTGCTATACACCATTTTTGTTTATCATTTTTTTTATCGTTATTGTTTCATCATTATTATTGACCAGTGAGTTATTAGTTTTCAAATGAAATGTATCAAGATGTGTTTTGTGCAGCAATTAA